GTACTATGGGTAAGACTGTGTGTGTGTGTGTGTGTGTGTGTGTGTGTGTGTGTGTGTGAGAGAGACAGAGAGAAACTATCTTTTGATGTGAGCCCACCTCCTACTTCCTCGATTCCCTCATATCTACTGTTTTCCACTTCACCCGAAGGCCCCCCCCGCCCACCCCTGTCCAACAGATTCACATGGTCCATCGGGGGCCTGAGAATGTGCTCCAGCGCAATGACAGGGGTCACCAAACCTGAGGACGCACTCTGCACTGTGTGCGTGTGTGTGTGTGTGATGGGGAGGCACGGTCTTCAAACGAACACTAACCGTTTCCTTCAAAAGGATTAAAAAACACAGCAATTCCCATGTGTAATTAGCTGAATACATTTGTACATTTTGATGTTAAATTACCAATCACTCGATAGGTATGGATGGACGGAGCATGCATATGCAGGTGGGCAGACATGAAACAAGTTCAAAGAGAGACCAGTGGAAACTAAAGTAGCGTACTGATCATCAAGAGATCTTGTTTAGTTTAGAGGCTTCATATATGAATAATCCGACGTGCATTTAGGTAAACACAGTGGTGGGCCGTCAGGGTCTATGGCCTAAACAGAATCACAAAGTTATAGCTATTTTATAATTTTTCACAAATACACTACATGTATTATAATTTTTTTTCCCATTAGCTTATTTTCTCATTGCACAGCTACTGTCATCCTCAGTTGCTCTGCCTTCAGTGCAACTTGTTTTAAGTAGAGCTTTTATCCAATCAGATTTCACCTCTATGTCTCTAGGTAAGAAGAGAGGCCTGCAAGGAAGCCTTTACAGATTAAAGTAAATGGGAATGATATTGATTGTCATAGTGTTCAGATCAGATCTTCAGATCAGATCTTTAGTTTAACATGTTGGGCGTATTCTTTGACGTGCCAGAGCTGCCGAGGTAGTCTACAAGTACATCAGCATTAACGTGTTCTTTTAACACTCAATGGCTGAAGGAGTAACGGATTTGGAAGTTACTGGCAACGCCTTTCTGGAGAAGGACATTTCCAGACAAGCTGGATATCGTAAGAAAGGGTTGGCCAACCCCACAGCTAAGCAGCCCTGACCCAGCCAGGAAAAGGACTTGTACAAATGGTATTCCTGGCTGACAGCGTTGGAGAAGTGTTGCACATGTTATGGCTAAGAATGCCTTTTATTTGCAAATGAGCGTCTTGGTGTTTGGAGCTGGACTTGCTAACCTGAGTTGGCTAACCAAGGCAGCAACAAGACACCATAGCAAGGCAGCAGACTTACAAGCTACAGTGCTTTTGAAAACTTTTGCTGAGAACCAATACGTGTTGTAGCGCCGCAGGTTTACTGGATTGATTTGTCATGCTTTGTTGTCATATAAATATATGTGACTGGTTATTGTGAGGTTTTTCTTGTCATTGTGTTAATTACGTTGATTTTGACTATATGCATTGTTCGTTAATGACGAAAAATCCTGTCTTGCGCGTATTCATGTATCTGTTTTATTTTACAAAGCAGGAATTATGGTCTGGAGAAATGGGGATTGTGTGGCGATTGCTTTAGCCCTGTTTGAATCAGTAGGGAACAGCTAAACGCTGCGGGGAGAGTTTTCAGCGTGTGTACTGCTGTTGATTTCCTGTTAAGCTAATTTAGCATAGTGTGTCTCCCAGAACACATGTGGCTCACCAGAGTACAATGTTTTTCTTCCGCAGTTGGCGTGTCAGACAGCACTTGGGTGGGTTGCCAAGTTGAGCGCTGTGGCTTCACTGAAAGAACATTATATTTCCCACAATTTAAGCTTCTGCATTTTCCAAACGTATTGTTCGGTTCGTAAGCCTCGTACCGAACAGTTTAATATGAATACGTGTAGTGTTACACCCCTAGAAACAAATAATAGCCCATAGCTGTGGCGTCATAATGAGGTTATTAGGAGGTGGTTCAACTGTAGTAGGACAGCACTGAAGGCCCAGGTATAAAATGCACGGCCCGCCACTAGGTAAACAACAGAAGATGAATATTGTTGATGAATTAATGTTACAGGGGTTTGAGGGCCGATCTACAGCATTTAGATCCATGGCAAACTTTGTAAACTGGTCCTATTCTGCATCAAATATAGACGACAACAGTCAAAGCACCAACTCTAGATCGTTACTAACACAACTATTACACTAACTTAAATTATAAGGCCAAAATAAAAGAAAAAATCGTATTCTCAACAAATCCCATAAAAATCAACTAATAGATTTATCAACTCCAATTAAATTCTGGAAATCAGGCAGAAATAGAACTATATAGTGTATAAAATACCCCCCCCCCCCTCCATTGGTTCCTACTGAAGATCTTCAAGAACAGCTCATCAATGCATAGTTGTTTTTAGAGCCACTGTAATAGTCACTGTACAATAAATATATAGTGCAAACATATAACATCATAACACAGACTAACCGGAAGAACCAATGAATATCTTTTTTGTCATTGAATAACATGTTGATTGTTTTTCATTAAATATTTAGTTGATAAAATGTCCTCAGTTCCCAGTGATCAAGTTGACAACTCTCAACTCGATCAACGGCCCGAAATCTAAAAACATATTTAATTCACAATTATATCAAAGTGAGAAAAGCAGCAATTCTTCACATTTGAGAACCGTTTGGTACTTTTGATAAATAATAAACTAATTATTATATTTCACTCCAAATATATCACTGACCCAATACATCATTCACTCCCCTCCTCACAGTGTGCTTGAGGCCATAGAGATGTATGTTTGTTTAGCACAGAATAATTGAAGTGTAATAAAAAATAGGCCACATCTTAATAAAGAAAAAGGAGTTGGCATGCTGATGAGGAGAGGTAAGAGGGGAGCTTTATTTAAGGTCCTTATATTAAAGCTGATGAGAGTGAAATTTAAAGATCGACAGAGTGATAAAAGCACAAACAATTAAAACTATAAACCTATAAAAACACAAGAACTCTAACAATAACTTGTGGGCTTAAATGCACTTTAAGGCCTTGAAATGCAATGGTGTAAAAGCTTTTCTTTTTTTTCAGGCCCTGCTATGTAACACTGCAGGAGACTAAGAAGGGATACAGTCAAATACATGAAAAAGGGGGGGGGGGCAGAGGGAGAAAGGGAGACAAAAAGAGGGAAAACGCTGCAGGTCTGAATGAACTGTTGAAAGGAAAAAGAAAGAAAGGGAGGAAAAGGAGGGAAGTAAACGGACTGAGCGAGCAGAGGTGTGCTCTGTATAGAAACAGCACATATCCAGCTGTCCCTCCCATCCAGCTCTACCCAGAAACCCTTCAATCAAACAACCGCGATCGAGCCTGACTACTGTAGCATCCCCAGGCTGCTTTCATTCGCTCTCATTCATTCATTCACTCGTCCATTTTTCCTCTCCTCTGGTGCTTTAAGCCTACCAATTATCATCAGCGGGCCCCAGACGGCCTCTGTGCTTGTTCCCGTTTCAGCTGGCCTTTCAAACAGCCCCTGCATTAATAAGCCAGTTGTTACAAATAAAAAATAGGGAGGTGAGGGGTGATTATTCAAAGCCCTCCTAAAAAGAGAGGGAGGAAGCCCACGTTTAACACCCAGGGGAGAGTAAAAGCACCGCCTGCCATTTATGGGGCTGTCCAAGGGCCTGGTATGGAGGCTAACAAGGGTGGTAATAAAGGAGGGAGAGCGGCTGTAATGGCTCCGGACATGAAAAAGCTCTAGATACTGAAAAACTGGGGGGGGAAAGTAGCTGACTGACACAACAATAGGGATATGCTTTTAAAGAGGCAGCAGCCCTCATATATCAAAGCGCACAAAAAACCCCGCAATGTTTCTTTACCTAAATCATGATCCGGTTACTCAAGATAATCTACAGACCCTGTTGTGAGAAATATCTGTATTTCTGATTTTGGGTTGAGCTCTACCTTTAAATAAAGACTTAAATCCAGTCAGGTTATTCTTTATGTTCCCTGACTGTGATGTTTCTCTGGGTTTAACAGCTGGACCTGGTATCAGCAGGACTTTGTGACATCACGGCTACTTTGGAAGCCAGCTGTGGTTCAATATGCCAACTAATGAAAGTGTGTTGTGGAAACGTGGACTTTACAGTGAACAACAAGACAATATTGTGTCCAGATGTTAAACATTTGAAATGAAAATTATTCAAATTCACATATTCAGAGAATTAATACATTCTGGATGAACGGAGAATGAGAAGAATTTCTATTGGAATTCTTTGGTAGAATATAAAACATACCAGCAGAGTATTTTGATGTCTCTACACACGGGGATGTTTGTCAAGCACTGTCTGATAGTTTTGCTTAGCTTTTATATGTGAAGCAGAGAAATCTAATAAAAGTAAAAAGTTGCAAAACAACAACGTGAAAATATTCTCTTACACTGAGTAACAAGATTCTATTTGGCCGGAAATAATTGTTGGCTGCACTTTTTGTTTCTTTTCTTTATGATACAAAATGATAATGTGTATATATTTTGTGTATAGTCGTGCATGCTTCATAGAAGTATCCATTTGAAACACAGCTTTGTATTTTATACATAATACTGTGTTGATACACATTTTTGAATAAACAAATAAGAACCCTCTGCCAGTCAGTAATAAAGATTTGTTCAATTTTCAACCCCCTATCCTAAAAGACTTAAGAAAAATAAAAACATGTCACTGCCCAAACACATATTATACTCCCATTTTTGCCCGTTTAGCACTCAAACAAACAACGCCTGTGTGTAAAGGTATCTGTATACCTTTAATATAACTTGAAACTTGAGATTGTGGATGCCATGTTGAAATTTCTACTGTTTGTGGGTAAATTTGTGTTGGAAAGAAAGACAACCTCATTAGGCTAAAAGAAAAGAGGAAAATAGAGAAAAATTGGGATATAATCTTCTTATACAACAGTTTGTGAGTCTGTGCGAGTCTGTGTGTGTCTGTGTGTGTGTGTGTGTGTGTGCGTGCGTGCGTGTGTGTGTGAGAGAGAAGGTCATTTACCTGCACACCTGAAGCTCTGAGCCGTCAGTCCCTTCTCCACAGCCAGACAGGTGAGAATACTGAGGAAACTAGTTGTGACTGACTGCCGCTTGGCTCTCTGGGCCTCCCGCTGCCTCCTCTCCCTGGATGGTTTGGATCTCAACAGCACTCCCTGGAGGGCTGGCGCTCCTTCTCCCAACTCTCCCGCTTCCTCTTTGGCCGGCCTCTGCGCTGCGACCGCACCCCGCAGGGCCTCCACCCATTCCCGGGCCTTGAGCTGATCGTCCGCCCGAAGTCTGAGCACCTCTTTGGGGAAAACTACCTGGAAGCAGTGTCCTCTATCTGTCCACGGCTCCCCGTTTTCCGGCTCTTGATTGTGCCGCACGGCCAAGCAGGAGGCCAGGGAGAACTGGAGGACGGGCTGGGACACAGACCCGCGGCCCTCGGTGGGGAAGGCCCGGAGGGCGGATCTGGTCAGGACGAAGGTGAAGGCCCGCGAGTTGTTCTGATCCATCAGCTGGCACAGCAGACCAGCTTTGAGGACGTCCTGGCAGCACTGGGTGAACAGAGGCAGGGTGGTGGGTCTGCTCAGGACGACAGGGTTAGGCTGGAGGGGGAGCGACGCCTCCGACGACATGGGGGTGTCGCTGTCACCGTCGGGCCTGGTGTCGAGGCCCGACAGTGAGGGCGACGAGGACGGCGAAATGGCCACGTGGAAACTGACGACCTGTTGCTTTTCCGCTCCAGTCTTCCGCTGATGGTTCTCCTTCCTCGCAGGTCTGGCCGCCTGCACTTTCTCCCACATCAGCCGCCTCCACTCCACGGCCTCCCATTGGTTGGCCGCCCTCAGCTGCAGGCGCATGCTGTTGAAGAACAGAGCCTGGAGCGTTCTCTGGTCGGCGGGCTGGCCACCACAGGGTGCTGGTGAGATGACGCTCTGGCAGTGCGACAGAGAGTAGGCGGTGCCCAGCTGGCGGTTGGCGCTGCTGTCCAGAGTGTACAGCCGGAGCTCACAGGGCGTCAGCTCGACGTGGCAGGGTGTCCAGCGACCCCGGGGCCCCTCGCGCTGCTCCATCGCACCCTGCTTCACCACACTGCTACTGCTGCTTTTATCAGCTGGACAGAGATACAGAGGCGGAGGGGAAATAGGGAGAAACAACACATAGATGAGTAATGAGAGAGTGTGTGTGTGTGTGTGTGTGTGTGTGTGTGTGTGTGTGTGTGTGTGTGTGTGTTCAGGATAACCACATTAGAGTCAACAAGTGGTTTTATTCTGAATGATCAAAGCAGGTCAGATACTTATGTCCTAAACATGTTTTTCATCATTCTGATACCAACACATTATCACAGATTAAAAGTTTTAAGAGTACTGCACTCAACTTTCGAGTATCAAACCCGCTGTAAGCTTGACATTTGGATCTGAGAGGTTTGTATCCTTCGTTGATGGCAGCTGTAGTTTTGGGATGTTTCAGTAATTACTAATTGCGTTTTTCCACCTACATACTCTTTAGAGCAGCCCTTCTGAACAATAGAATGTATCTCCTGAGGTTTTCTTGATAGTTTTCTTGAACCATTAATAGGACAATTGTTTGTTTTTTTTTAACCACATGGATATCGAATGGGTTACATAACACACGATTACAATTTTTTTAATTTAACAGCATAGGAGACACAATACCCCTCGACAGAAGTAGTGTATTTAGGTTTGTTGTGAGGAATAAACTAAGAGTGTTTGGAACATACGGATACATGTTTAAGTGTATTATGTTGTGGAGGTGGTGTGATCTTTTCAATGCTTTTTGCCATGACTTTGGGTCTCCGTTGGAATCCATTGTAACTGCTGAGCATCCAAGCTGTCTACAGCTGGTATCCTACATGAAGCAGCAAGTTACCTATTTTCTAAAGTCACCTTTTGACTGGTTGATGCTCAAAAGACATTTTCCGTGGCGTATTCCTTTAATGAACTGCATCTATAGCATGGACTGTATATAAGAAGAGGACGTAGTCGTTGTGACGTCACCCATTGTTTTGCGGACTGTGGTTTTGAAGCCTCGAGTTTGGCATTTCGGCCGTCGCCATCTTGGTTTTTTGCTACCAATGAATGAAAGTAACTACGGACATTTTGGACATATTAATAGTGACACTGAGACGCCGTGTACAACGATCTGTCAATCTCAAGGTAGCCCCGCCCTAAATCATACCCTGTTTTATGGTCTATTTCACTCTATGGACCATAATTTACTAAATGAACATCATTGAAGAATACTTGAAACTAGAGATTGAGACCATAAACTCATGTTTATTGAGGTAACAAATCAAGTGAGAAGTAGAGTCAGTTGCTCATAGACTTCTATGCAATCTGACTTCTTTTGGCAACCAGAGGAGTCGCTCCCTGATGCCCATTAGAGAGAATGCAGGTTGAAGAGACTTCCGCATTGGCTTCACTTTTCAGAACTGGAGGTTGCTGCCTGCTCTTTAGCTTGAAGTCAAGAGCACACATGGGTCACTGTGAAATCCTTACACCTCTAATTGATCTACAAAACGTTAGTCTAGATGGGCCAGTTTTCTACACAAAGTAGCTTATCGGAGGCTTGCGGCTCCGACATGAGCGTTGGTATTTTGGTAAGAGATAGCTGTGGGCTGGTGCTCCTCTGAGAACGTTTCTTGTCTCCACAGCAGGAAGAAACAGTGTTGTTATGGAGCCCACAGGGCAAACTGTTCCACTTTCTTAAATCTGAAGGCCGGAGGCACACCCTCTCCCTATTTTGGCCTTTCCTCTCCATTCTTTCACTACATGAGGTTTGTTTTACCCTCATTTATGTCTTCTCACGTCTCCTCCTGTGATTGTGGTGTGTTTTTTCTTTGATTTAGGAGGCTTCAGACTCGGGTAGAAGCGTGAACTCTGTTTGGACATACAACTGTGCTTGCCTTTATTATGAGGAAAAACTGTTCAGATGCCAGCCAGGAGAAAATATATTGTAATTAACAAAATGTTTCATACTAAATGTATAACAGGGATCGCAACAATGTTCTTTAAGGACCTGTGTGTAGCATTTAGGGGGATCTTTTGGAACAAATGGAATAAAATATTATATTGTGTATATTCACCTGAAAATAAGATTGTTGTGTTTTCGTAACCTTGAAATGAGTGATTTATATCTACATAAGGAGTGGGTCCTCCAGGTTTCTACAGTCGCCTAGAGCGGACAAAAAAAAACAAAACACTGGCTCTAAATATGGCCATTCACGTTTTCTCGTCGACGACCATAGTTCTCCTACACACTCGGCACACAGGAGAAGTTTCAGTTGATTGCAATCTGCAGCCTCACCAGTAGATGCCGCCAATCCTACACAATAGTCCTTAAAATAAAAAGGGAGTTATATCTCTATTTGTTTGTTGTTTCTTTGCATAACGCTAACCTAGATCAGTGTTCTAGTTTTAAGAATTGACTCTTCAGTATGTTTGTTCTCTCAAAGAAACAGAAAGTGTCCAAAGCAAATACACTACTGTGAAACCAGACGGGCAAGTTAAGGGTGTGGTGAAGGTAAAACTAATAACGATTAGAGCCTGATGGATATTTTTGAGGACGATACATAAACACATTTTGCGATAGATGTGCTGATGTAAAGATGTTTTACATTCATGCCATCAACTTTAAATCAAAAGTATGCAAGAGTCAACATAAGATAGTACACTTTGAACAGTAACTTTGATTTGAAATTACTAAAGAATGCGCAGTATAATAAACTTGAAATAGGAACAAATCTAAATGAATTCTACATAAGAATGCAGCCTATAAAACATGTATATCATATCTGCCTGCTGATTTATTGTCGAGGGTCAAATGAAAATAATTCTTTGTAAAGTAGCACTTTTCTAATAAAAATGAAATTACCGAGAGCATTTCAATCAAGAGCGAAAAGAAAACTGCATGATTTAAAAAGATAGTATTAGGAATGAACACCCAGATGAAACCACATGCTGGACAAAGGTCTCATCATACTTGAGGGTTTCATTTTTGTTTTAATCTCAGCCCGCTGTGTCTCCACTGAGGGATGAGGAAGAGAGAAAAGCACCTGCTACACAAAGCAGGCCAGCAAGAAGTACAAGCTACAGTATGAGACTTGTGACCAACAGATGAATCCTCAGGATTTATGAAGGGACAGCAAAGACTAAAGACTTGTAAATTGTGACTTATTCAATGAGCTGTGTGCAAGCCACCAATTTGGTAATTTGCAAGTCAAAAGACATGTAAACATCGAAAATTGGATACATTTGGTTATAAGTGAAAGTTAAGTTAAGGATATATACAATCATTATGTAGACAGTATGTCATCTACTTTTTTCAACATGCAGTTAGGACCTGCTTTGCATTAACATTATTAATTATTCAGGATAGTGAAATGCTGTTAAAACAATGGGTATATGTAACCTGGACTTCTAAACAAATTAAAGTCTATATCAGCCCAGCTGTAACCTTGTTTGTAGACGTCTTTTGACGTCTTTCTTGAAAATCTCAACAATCACCGTGTGCTAAACCAATCCAACAATCTGATAGAATTGTAAACCCCCAACCAGGAGCCGTCTAATTGGCAGACATTGCACTTTGTTTCTTTAACGTGCTAAATCACTCAAGGGGGAAAAAAGGAAAAGCTAAATCCTTCACAGCATCGGTGGTGGGTCGAGTGCCTCATCAATCTTATCAAAACCGCAGTAGACACGGTGTCGCTCCGGGTCTCGGACTTCGCATGTTAACAAACCCTTTTCGCTAAAGGGACAAATGAATATGCAAATTCGTTTGCAGATTGGCAGTCGTCACACTCGGGAGGACCGAGATGAGAATTAGGCATCGTGGCGAGGACAAACGCTCCGTTCAATTAGCTTTCATCTCCACCTGGTAGGTTTTCACATCACACTCTGGTAATAGTCTATGCCGTCAACCAGAATTACCTTTTTTTTCCTCAGGACTCCAAAAAAAATATCAAGCACTGCTGCCTTTAAGTCAATCAAGACCTTTAACAAGCAACCTCACGTGCTGATAAGGTAGCATACGATAATATTACACATATATATTACAATCTAACAGACTCCCACGGTTTCCTGGATACAATATGTACACGACGACTGCAAATAAGTAAAAGCAGAAGAAGGCACCTGCAGCCACACACAGAGGTACACCATCCACTTCTAAACCACAGCATCTGTCCTGTTCAGGTTCATAGCGGGGTGAAGCTATCCCAGCATGCACCGGGTGAGCGGTACGGTCGGGTTCTGGAAGTAAGAACCAACACATCAGTCAACGTCAGCATCTAAAAGCTGCATTCAAGTGTGTGTGTGTGTGTGTTTCATCTGGGACCGAATACAGTTGAACATCTCAATGTTGAGTGAGGCCAAAAATTAGGGGGGAAAAAAGGATGTGTGTCACGAATGAGGAGTTCAGAGACCACAGGATTTGAAAGACAGAGAATGCATGAATGCATTCAAAGTCAGCAGAAAGACTTTCATAAACGTGATGAGAGGCAGATCGATTCTAGGAAGCAAAAACTGAGAAAACTTGAATTTCAAAAGCAAAAAAATTAATAAATGGTACACACTATTATTGTAGAGAGGCAGGAGCAAATAACACAGACAAGCCGGTGGGGAAAATAAGTGAAAAAACTGAAACTGTTCTGAACGACTACGATGAGACTTTCCTTTATTGTTTGCTGTTGTTACTGTTAGTCTGGGAACATGTCCATTGGCTTCTTGCAAATGATAAAAAAGAAACTTCCGTGGTCAAACTTGCACAAATGCATCCATCCTAGGGCTGGGCGGTATAATACCGGTTTTAATTTCCCGTACGATATGAATTTTTCATATACCGTCATACAGCCGAAACAACTTCTGTCGCTCTTCAACAGGCAGCAAAATATATTGTTCGCTGCTGAGGGTGGTACGGTCGGAGCTAGTTATCTTAACTGTATTGAGAGGGAACCCTAGTCATGGTTATAACTTTATAACAACAATTAACAACCGACAACTAACGCTCTTTAACAGGGCAAAACACTACGACACAACAGTTTGTGACACATAAACAATTTGTAACACTAATAATTGTACATTTATAAAATTTCACTGCCGAACAGCATGCTGGGTACAGCTCACTAACAACAGTCTACTAACAGCTGGGAGAGGCTCTGTCACTCCAGTAACGTTACATTAAAGAACAGAAAAGAGCGATGCAGGATGAACAAAGACTGAACAACAAAAGGTATTTTGGTTATCGTGATATACCGTGAAACCGCCAGAATCTTACAAAATACCGTGATATGCATTTTTGATCATACCGCCCAGCCCTAATCCATCCATCCATTATCTGTAAGCGCTTATCCTATTCAGGGTTGCAGCTGAGCATTCTGATTGTGTGTTATACGAAGTCAGTGCCTCTTTTGTAGCCATTGTTTTCTGTGGTTGTTTGTGTTTGTCTTATTTTCTCTCTTCAATTTATTAATTGACCCTTTGTTAAGCCCCGCCTCTCTCTGCTACTCTGTCAAGCTGTCAGAGCTACCATGGAGCCCACACTGTCATTAACTGCACACGTTATACATTCAGTATACCTTCAGTATCTAGCGTAGCATTGGCAGTGCCAACACTAGTTTATGATGTGCTAACGTATTTTGCTAATGTTAGCTAGTTAATGCGTATCTCCTTCCAAGATCTCTGAGTGATGAGTATCTATCACACAACGTTTAACTATGACTAGAACCAAATCCACAAAACCAGCCTGAAAATGAAAAACATCTGAAAACATTGCATGAGAGGCCGGTCGATGCTACGCTATGACAGGCCAGTCTGCATTGCAGGGGTGGGACTTAGTGAAGGGTCAAACTAAAATGCCACAGGGGCCCAAGGTGACACCTTCAAATTGCGTTTTCTTCTGAACTAAAAACATAATGATATTTAATTTGGAATAAAACAGAGAAAAGCAGAAAATTCTTAAATTTTAAAAGGGCCTGAACCAGCAAATATTTGGCCTTTTTGTCAAGATTTTTTGTGATTCATGTTTGGTTAATTGACTAATTGCTTCATCTCAATAACCCTGCCTCAGTACAAGTGGCTTCAGAGAAAATTGGTGAGTTGACCAATTATTTTTTTCACAAGCTTATCTGTTCATTAAACTCTTTACCGTTGGAGTAACAGGTGCATATTTTGTTATATTAAAAGCTGCCAGCAAAAAAATGGTTTCCTTGCATGGACCCTGAACTTTGAAGAATACAAGTTTATCGAGGAATGCTCGCAACAAAGTGCAAAGTGTGCAAAAAATAATAATAAACAAGAACAATGGCACACAAACAGATGAATGTCGCTTTGGCGATGTTATAAAAGACAAGAGCTACATGCAGCTTGTTTGGTTCCATATATACATGTTTATTGTGTATATAATCATTTCCATTTACCATCTAAACATCCCCAGCTGTTACTAATGGAAAGGCAAACAGGCCACTTTTCTTTTCTTTTTTTTTCTCAATGTGAATGAAGAGACATCGCGAGTCCGAGATAAATCACTCTGCCTTCTGCTTATTACCGTCCTTTTCCTACTTCTCTCCTTTCAATGCACGTCGAGCCAAACTAAATAGCCTGATGCCTTTTCACACATATGCTAATACTAAATAATCCTGCCAGTATCAGGGGCCGGGTAATTGGGTTGCCTCTTCTTTCGCCTCATTTGAGTCCATTTGCTGACAGGATTACAGGCTATTATCCCTCAGGATCCCTTAGGATCTCCTTAGGCCTTCAGATGGCCAAAACACACATAAACAAATGCTGTGTGTGTGCGTGCGTGCGTGCGTGCGTGTTGGGCTCTCTGCCTGAATACTGACTGTCATAGCACAGCTGTGTCATTTCAAGTTATCATCATCTTCTATCATTATTGCTTTCTCTGAGGATGCTTCAACATAAGTACAGCATACGCCCCGATCTGCAGCACAAATAGTCAGAGACTTCCGTCCTCCGAAAAGCCTCTCAAAGGCTGAGAAAACCTTGCGGTGAATGGACGGTCGATCAGAGCAAAGGAGGGAGGAGGTGTGCATGTCTCCAGGTCGGGACCGGAATGATGGTCACCGGACATGACACCGTCTTTCTGGAGTCAGAGCACGAAACAGCTCTCCGTTTCACAAATGCCTAATTAGGCAAATCCGATGCAATTAAAAAGGGTCACTTCACAAAAATTAAGATACATATAATTTACCACTTAGCTTTGCAAATAGAGGTAACATTTCTCAAGGTTTTGACACAATGGAGGTCAATCAGACAGCAACCTCAGACAGCAATGCTGAAGTGCCTTAAACCTTCATTCTTTCTAATGGCCATCAGGGGGCGACTCCTCTGGATGTGAAAGTCTGATTATATAGTATATACGTAAGTATCACTCACTTGATTTAGTCAGTAAACATTGTAAACATAAGTTTATGGTCTCAATCTCTAGTTTCAAGTCTTCTTCAATACAGCATGATGTTCATTTAGTAAATTATGGTCCATTTAGAGTGAAATAAAGCAGGGTATGCTTTGGGGCGGGGTTACCTTGTGATTGACAGGTCACTATTACAGCAGTGTCCGGTCTGGGAGTTGTCCGTGTTTTCTTCTTACAACTTTAACCCTTTTGCGTTTTCAGTTCATGAAAGTTAATTATAACATTTTGGTGGCCTAAAAATGTCTTATTCAGCATTTGGTTGTACTCAGCGCCACCCTCTATTGTCCTTGTCATTGCAAAAACCAAGATGGCAATGGCAAAAATGGCAAAATAGAGGCTTCAAAGCGGTAGTCCACAAACTGATGGGTGACATCACAGTGACTGCGTCCACTTAGCAACATGTGTTTTAAAAAATAGTGTCCCTGTTACTCTGAATAATACGTTATTATACTCAACATTTAAGGTTTTAAATTTAACGTTTTTCTGCCATAGGTCTCTGGTCGGCTTCTGTAATATCTGGATGGATCTGCACGTACACAGTATCAGCTCTGACAACATGGTACATCATAATTACCACCAGAGAAAATACTTTAGGATATCAGTAGCCTATGTAAAAACTGGATGCTATTTGTTTTGTTCCAAAACTTTGGACATGTGAAATTAATCGATAGTTTCTTTCATCTTCAATATCAAATATTGTTCAATAGGGACAGGCAATGTGGATGGAAGTCGAGTCAATTTCATTTACAGTATATCGCCCAATATCAGAAATCCCAAATGTCCGTTTGTCTGATACACTGTCTAAAACCCAAAGATCATCAACATCTTTTCAGCTCTATCATAGACCTAAAAGATTTGGTCTGACAAACACCTCCTGCATCATATCACACAGAGACTCACACTGCGCATGTGAACTCACCCTCTGGCTGGTGGTTGAGGATCATGTTCTTCAGAGTGTTGCAGTCCAACGTGGGCAGTCCGTTGTCGGTGTATGCCGACGGCCGGTAGTTGACGTCGGACCTGGACCGGTTGTGTCCCTTCTTGAAGACCGACTTGGACGAGGAGTTGGCCGTGTTATTGGTGCACTCCTTGGTGTGGGCCGCCAGGTCGTTGGTGGAGCGAGCTCTGCTTCTCTTGCCGTGCCTCAAGCCCATCCCCAGGCCCAACACGCTGAAGTTGTCGGCCCAGGCCAGGCCTAGAGGCCCCACCTCCGGCTGCTCTCTGGCCAGCAAGCCCCACACGCCGCTGGAGCTCAGCTTCCCCAGTGCGGCGCTGGAAACCTCCTGCAGCTGCTTCGGCGGCCTGGAAGGCTGGAGGGTCCCCGTTTGAGCTAGGCTCGGACCTTGGCCTTGTATCCCGCCCATGCAGTGGATGAAGTCCTCGGTGGCCTCGAGGGCCGGGCTGATATCGCCAACCATGTCGAGCTGCTCAAGACCCTCCATGGCTGGGCCCCTTCCCCTTGAGCAAGAAGTCTCACAACTAGATGGTTTTCCAAAATGGGCACAAATACCCAGTTAACATCATTCACATGTCCAACAAACCATGCTGGCTGTCAGCCGGTCGAATGCAAGCTAAGATCGGGTTGAGGAAGATCCAAGCAGCCTGCGGGCTTCACAGACTGCTGTCTGAAGCAAAGTCCTGCTCTCCTCCTCGATACAGGGCCTTCATCCAAGGTTACGGTCTTCTTTTTCAGTGGAGTGTCTCCAGCGCTGGAAGGAAAGTCGACTACCTCTCGGGGGAAAGCTGCTGCGGCTTTATGCCAGCGCTAAACAGGACTGGCAGTCACCTGGGACTCCCGAAATTAAGCCAATTTGGGTGGCAGGCTATGTTACTTAGCCAGATACAGACACACTTTGGGCAAGAAAAACAGTCAAATCCCCCTGCACATGCTGATACTCTCAGGGGCGACTTATTTTAGTCCATCAGGTGGCTGTGACATCATCAGATGGAGACTATCTGTGGCTTTACTGTGAGAAACAGAAGAGAGAAAGGGGAAATGGTTAAGAGGAAGCATGCCGTACAAAAAGAAAAATAAGGGAACATGTCTAACAGTAAGAATGGAGTGATTAAATTACACATAAAACAGTTGTGTTCCAGGCGCTTTCTTAAACTCTAAATACAGGGTTTGCCAAGAGAAAAGTCAGATTATAGGATAATGAAGCCACTATTTTAAAAATGCTGAATTCACAATTCAGAAAACATCTATTGCCTCCACACGGCTCTCAACATGGCGACGGTCCTAACAGTGCAAACAATGGCAACAGTGCTGGCAGAGCTAACAGTGTTTACCTGAGGGGGGACGGCGTTATCAGCTACAACCGCTGTATGAGCGTAGTGCAGAGCAGCGGCTGTGAGCTAACCAGCGGGGCACGCTCACGTGCACTAACATGCACTAAAAGGCACAGCTATGTAAACAAAGCAAGGAGAAGCTCAGATTACCACAGAGAGAGAGAGAGAGAGAGAGAGAGAGAGAGAGAGAGAGAGAGAGAGAGAGAGAGAGAGAGAGTGATTTCATTCTCTGCTCAGGTAAACAATACTCTCCTCCATCTTTACATAGTAAATAGTTGTTTTTTCTGCTATATTAATGCTCGTAAAACGTCATAGAGAACCTTCAACAACTTTAAGCATCAAACTACCGACCATCCTACAGTATCTTCATCACACTTCGCCGATTCCTCCCCAGCAAACAGAAACGATCGTCCTCCCTCACACGTCCTGATGAAATAATACTTGACTTCCTCCTCAGCTGCTTATCACCAGACCGAGCAGGCAGAGAGGAAGCAGGCCTGGGTGGGGTTCACATCCATCTGCCTGAACGTCTCTCTCTCTCTCTCTCTCTCTCTCTCTCTCTCTCTCTCTCTCTC